GGTAGCTTAATTTTCTATGAAATGAGAATAAATTTAACGGATGAATTGATATTTTTGCTTCGCCCTATAACATATTTTTTGAATCCCTGTGAATCCCACAACTTTTTTGCAATCTGATTGGCCGATTTCCAAAATTCGGGATACGATTGGTTGACAATCAAGTGTAATTACTGTATATTGAAATCATCTACGAATTTGAATGGTCGCTCCTGTTGATCGGGTATAACTGGATAAAACCGGATAAGTAGAATATCCCGAGTAACCGTAAACGTTAATTCATATATTATTTCGGGCATATATTTTGTATGTGAAACAGAATTTACAGCTATTATAGTTTTAATTGAAATTAGTTACAGTTTTATTTTCAAAAAAGCGATGTATCAACATTATTTCATTGTCCGATAAATTTGAAATGATATTTATTTCGTTAAATGGGGATCTCCAAACACTCCACTCCCATTTCATTTTCCGGTTTTAAAATTTTGAAATACAAATAGGATTTTTCAAACTCTCATTTAATTTCAAAATGCGCCACTCATTTGTTAACTTTGAAACCCCTATTATCATAAGTTTGAGATTTCGGCATAATAGATTCAATGTGGGGTTTCCGAATTAACGTACGGGAGTCTAATTTTAACAGAAATAGATAACGTAGTTATTTTTATTTTTTATTTATTTATTTGGTTTTTTTTTTTAAACCCTCGATATGATTATCGAAGGATGTCATAAGCGTACAATTTATTAAGTATATTAAAATAAATTACAATACGAAGAGGTGCACAAATTGACTTGTCATTGTTTATATTGTCGTTAAACAGGAGGAACCGTCGATATTACGCGACTGATCCTTCACTCGGTGTGCAACATATAAAAAAATTATTTTACAACACCAGATCATTCCGCCAGTACATGTTATGGTTATAAATCCCACATCATTTTATTATAATAAAAATGGTGTGGAATTAGTAATAATAACATGTACTGGCGGAATGATCTGGTATTGTAAAATAATTGTTTTATATGTTGCACACCGAGTGAAGGATCAGTCGCGTAACATCGACGGTTCCTCCTGTTAGTGTCGTTATAGTCTAGTATGTGCCCTTCTAGAGATCATTAATTGATTCCAATTTAAGAAATTTAGCTATTCTTTTACTATTCTTATCCTTCTGCATTGAATTCAATACTTTTAACTCCTGAATCGACCAAGGCAGCCTTCAAAATTGCGGGTTATGTGAAAAAAATGCCACCGCATGTCCGCATTAATTAAAGTTATTTGTGAAAATGTACGTACTACGTAACAATAACGATAACTTATGAGATTGCAACGCTACCGTGCATCATATGTGTTGTCACATGACCCGCAATTTGGTTGATTCTTTAACTCCTTGATCAATCTGTTTTTAACTATCATAGGTAAATATCTTCCGATATTAATTTCTTACCCACTTAGCTTGGGTATACAAACACCAAATTTCTTATATACTAACGATATGCAACCAATACGCAGCGATACGTTTCCGTGGTTCCGTTATGTTTGAAGCTGAAAATACTTCTTCGAAAGTTTGTGGAGGTTTATCGTTTGAAGAGGTCGTTAGGAAGTTGTACGTTATATTCCATATTCTTTGACTCACTTTACATTCTATCGCAAAATGTTCAGGACGTGTTTATTTTCAAAAGAACGATATATCAACTTCATTTTCTAGTAAATTTGAA